TCTTTTTCCTTCTTTATTGTAAATCAAACAATAAAATGTAAATTTTAGTCAGAAACATACTAATGCTGTAAGGATAAAACAATTCCACAAGTATATTGGCTAAAATAATGAGAAACTGATTTAAAAATAAGTAGTTACTATTACTTTTCTTTTTTTTTGAATTTGTAATGATTTTATTTCTTTCATATCAGACATAACAAATGCAACCTGAATGTATGTACAAATTCTGAACAGAATATAAAAGAGGGAAGGGGACAACAAAGAAAACCTTCTTTAGCAGAGTCATGCACAGAAATGGATGGGGGTGCTGCAGGTGTAGCTGAGCCTGCTTCACTCTGAAGCATGCCAGGTACACACAGATCCTAACAGACTCCCTGCAGGGCTGGCCAAGGCAGTCCTATGCTGAAGGAAACAGGCAGCAAAGCAGCGGGACTCTGCCTGGAGTTCAGACAGCATGCTACAAACTTCACTGTAAACAGTCCTTCCATGAATGCCTAATCCTGAAATTAGAAAGCACATCATAGGACTGACAAAATAACTTTTCCCTTAGAAATACATATTTATAAAAGAAACACTGCCAGCTATCAGTTCACAGATAGTCAAAGGGTTTCCATTTAAAGTGCATCCGAATGGTTATGTATCAAGGCAAATTATTTTAAAGGAGGAGGGATTACTCTGGAATGCAGGATCTTGAGTGATTGCTTTGGGATTCATCGCCTTCATCTGTGAGTCCCGAGAACTCCATGTGTCACACCTCGCTGTTCAGTAAATCAGTGCTCTCTCTCTCCAGCAAGCCCTGGAGAAAGCCGTGGGTGGTGGGCACCCTGCAAGACTGGAGATGGCACTTTATAGATGAGTGCAGCCACCAGCAGAGCGGGCCCTTCACCCCCGATGAACTCCAGGTACTGCCACTACAACTAGAGAAAAGCTCCAAATAATCTCACAAACATTTCAGTACCCTCACAAGTCCTCCTGCACCCTTGACTGTAACCACACATTCCTCCAGTGCCCTCGGACTCTTGTAAACGCATGGGCACCATGGCATGCAAGACTGACGCCACTCATATATCTACCTAGTTTATTTATGGTGATATATTTTATTTTTCAATTCCATTCTTTTATATACATGTTTTTGGTAATTATAGTAAAGATGCTGGTAAAAAGTAATCTGTTTAACATTTCATAAGGTGTGCAAAAGTAAAAACACTGATTTAAAGAAAAGGAAGTTTCACAACTATCTAGCCCCACCAAATGAGGAGGAACAGTTGGGCAACATCATGACTTGCAAAGTCATACTTAGCATAATGTTGCAATTCAAAATATGGCACAAAAGGAACAATACAGGTAACAGTCCCACTGGCTATCTAGCCATGTTTTGACTAATTCGATTTAAGTTGAAATTCAATTATATAAAAAGGTTTCTGAAAGTATTGAAAAAGAAACAGTGTACATGAAAGAGAATTCAACAATGTTTACAAAATGCCTGAAGTTCTTACTCTGCCCCCCTTATCCATAAATAATTAATGAGGTTCCCCCTTTCCCCCACCCCCTAGCCACAAAAAGATTTACAAAGATAAATTTAGCTCAGTGAACAGAACCAAAAGATGACTGTTTTTAGACCGTACCTGGTTAAAAGCTCATGTACTTTAAGAATTCGTATATTGTCTCTCGAGGAATATAAATAATCCGATAGTGTTGCTCTTTTGAGTTTTGGAGACTTCTCATGTAGAGTTCTAACTGTCCTTATGCTTTGAATAAAACATGAGCTGTGAAGCAGAAAGCTGGTGGGACCAAGAGGTCACCACCCTCAAAGTTCATTGTGGGAATACTCTGCAGCTTTGAACATCAGAATAGAGCTGAGGATTTTGAGAGCAGGGCCCAGCTTAATGCTCATAATTTTAACAATGTCCGTTTGGGCCATAAGTAGAAAGGCTTCTCCTTCAATTTGTTCATCCTTAAAGACTTTTCCGTGTTCCTCACAGACAGGCAAGCTCTGGATGAATTCTGACACCTCATCTGTGCTCCACTTGGACCCCCTGCTGGCAGGGATGGCTGTGACAGTCGGGAGAAGTTTGCTTTGCTGTTCCCAGTGCAAGGGCAGGCACAGAACTGGGGACTTGAAGGACAGGAACATGGCGCCTGCCACACCCGAGGTTCTTCCCAGGCTCCTCTGGCTTCTTGCGGTGGCCTCTTTTCATCTTCTGTCCTCTCTTCAAGGTCTTCTTTGGCAGCATCAGTGTGCTGGTCTCTGACTTCAGGAGGCGAGGGGCTTTCATTTGTGTCTGTCTTCTTAGCTCTTGGAAATGCGAGGCTGGGTACATGCATCTCACCATTTAGCAGTCTGGGAAAATGTGTTCTTTATTCAAATTGATATCTGAGTAGGGACAGTTGGCAGCACTCTGAGGGCCTAGGTGCCTTGAGCGCTTAAAGTGGCCAAGGCCCTTGCAGCCAAGCATTGGACATCCGCCTTGGTCAGAGGCTTCCATTAACTCTATAGAGCTCAAAGGAGGCTGAAGAGTGTGTCCGGCCTTGGAACACCAGCCTACAGGGTGGATATCGGGGGAATCAGCATCTATCCATTAGTCATACATACTGCTCCAGCCATGGAAGTGAACTTTTATTCGGTGATCAACCGTGTCTGCCACTGTCGCAACTCTAATGAACATGGGGTTCCTCTTATCTACGACCTCCAGCTTCATTTTCTTCTGGAAGCCATGTGGAGGTTTCACTTTAAAGGCAGGGGCAGGTAAAGAATTGGTTTCTTCAAGGTATTTATCCCAGGAAAAAAACTTCACATTTGGATAACCTGGAGGAGTAGTGAGGGTTCTTCTGTGTTCTTTACACCAGCCAACCGGATGAATGTGGGGACTGGATGCTTCACAATAGTCATAGCTCTCATCCCAGTTGTCAAAATGCACGAGGAAACGTTTGTCCACCATATCTGTTACCATAGCAACGCAGATGAATGCAGGATTCTTTTTGTCTACGTGTTCAAGCATCATTCCAACTCGAAAGCCTGATGGGATCACCGTTATATTCTGATTTTCAAATAATGACTTCGGGGCTGCTTGGGCATTGTATGTCTTAAGATAGGTCTGCCAATTAAATTCTTCTTTATAGCCTTTCAGAGGATGGAGTTTGTGGCCGGTTTTCTCCCACCACCCCACAGCATGGATGTCCAGGGCGTCTACGTTCACCCAGAAGTCATAGCAGTCGGAGTACCCATCAAAGTGCAGCTTTATTCGTTACCCACAATTCTCGGCCATGGTGAGAACGCAGTACACAAAGTGATGTTCTGGGTCCACGCCTTCCAGCTTCATGCCGACCTTGAATCCGTTCTTGTTGTAGGGGAACGACTGGTGCTCCCTGAAGAGTTTCACAGGCACCGTCACAGCCTTCTCCTCTTCCAGAAAGGACGTCCAGCACCTAGCTTTTTTGCCCTGCTTCAGGACGGCCGAATCCCCGTGCCTTTTCCTCCGGGCTCTCTGCGAGCACCTCAGGATTCTTCCATCTTGTTTGGTCTCCATTTCATCATCTCTATCTTCACCATCCTCCTTGGCGTCGGCTTTCAGGGATAACTTCGGTTTTTTCTTCCGACTACATTTAGGGTCCTCTTCCTCGTTGTCCTCTCCTGTGTCCCTCTCTTCCTTCTGATCTTTGTCTTTGACATGCTGAGCACAATTCTGGCTGCAAAAGCCTCCTCCAGGAAGGCACTCCTCTACACTGCCGTACTGACAACAGTTCTCACAGAACTGAAGCCCGTCTACTTTCATGGGTTCCTTCAACCGGAAAGGTACTCCAGTCTTCTCTGAAAAGACTGTGGGACATCCGCGTGGAGATGTCCAGTAGGCAGGTGGAAATACGGGCCTGGAGCTCGGGGGAGAGGTCGGGGATTTCTTGAGCGGTTGGCACCATCCACGTGGTGGTAGCAGTTGCCTTTTTAACATTTTTCATCTCACTCTCATCTGTAATAACTTCCAGGGCTCCAAACTCATTTACTTGAAACTTTAGGTCACTTCCAGGTATCGTTCCCACGCCATCTTTCCAGTCCATGACGCTGAACACATCGAACTCGTGCTCGAGCAGACTCAGTCATTTCTTTTTGAATCTTGTAGCAGTAAAGAAAGAAACATCAGGAGGTCTTCACAACTGCTGCTTACTCCAAGGCCCCCCTTAAGGACCTTGGGCTCCCCTGAAGGGTGGGGCGAGCAGACCCAGGATCCCCGAGCCGGCGGCGCGGCCCGGTACCCCGACCTCTCCTGGCCGCGGACGGATCGACAGGCAGACACCCGGCCGCGCGGCCCAGCGGGAGGAAGCCGCCTGCTCGGAAACTTTCTCTCACTTTGGAGCAGTGGGCCGCGTCGGCCCAGCAGTCGGGGGTTCGAATCACAGCCCCCCTTTTTCTTCTCGAGGTAATTAAAGTTTCGCCACCCGCGCCGAAGTTGCGCCCTGCCCCGCCGGGCCGGCGCGCCCCGCTCCGCCCGCC